GTCTCTGACGAGAGCAAAATGGGCGTTGTCTGGGGCGAAGCCGCCGAAAATGTTGACAATTTAGGGTTTTCAAATGCTTATTTAATCGAATTTAGAGTCTAGTAATATGTAGAAAATACATATAGGCCTAATTTGCGTGTTTTTTTTTCTCTCTGACGGGGTGGGGGGGGGCCTTCCACCGAACCCACACCGGCTCCACCACTGACCAATAAAATATAAATCTTATCTTAACCTACCTGATTGATTACTTTTTCAATCTCCCATGGGCTGTTTGGATTCTCTGCAGATAATTTCCTAATCGCGATTAAGCAACTTAACAAAAACATAGATACAATCCAAACAAAAGCAAGAGTCAAGAGGCAGCATTTATCACTACTATAAAGTGACAGTGAAAACTAATATCAAAACTGTGCGTATATGATGTAATAAAAAAAACTCTCTTCCGCACAAAGCTTTTTTTTTAAACAGTTTGACCTAATTAACAATTGTAAAGTTAAAATCAAGTATATTAGGGAAATTTTAATACGTAATAAATAAGAATAACCGTTGTAGATGTTACAAATAATAATTAGGATGAGTTTTCATTATTGTAATTAAAATAACATAAATGATCAAAATACGATTGTATAATAATAAGTTTTATTATTATTATTATTATTATTATTATTATTATTATTATTATTATTATTATATATATAATTAAACAATAAAAATGACAATCGCAATAACAATAACTGTAACAGTATCACTAACAATGACAATGACAACATAAACGATCATAATTAGCACATAAAAAGTTATTATACCCGTTAGCCTGGTTCTCACGAAAGCCCTAGTATCCGGATGGGGAGCTAACCGTTAGCGCTAACCGTTAGCACCTGCGTGAGAACGCCCGATCGGTTTGCGCTAACCGTTAGCGGTATCCGGATACGCTAACGGTTAGCAAGCGCTATTGGTTAGCAAGTTGAGGGCCTTTCTATCATCAACCAATCACACGTACGCGTTTACAATTTCCAGTTTCTTATTGGCTAGTGATTCGATAATCATATTGTTGGTAGCCGGATCGGAATTTTCTCGCATGGACGCACAGCAGCACCGTTAGCTGCCGTGTGAGAACATAACCATAATCAATTTATCGTTGACAAGCAGGCCTACGCAGCATGCAGCTTCATTGACTTCATGGAGATATTCGTGCAGCAATACATTAAATCAGATTATAGTGGTTTATTTTTAGAATATAAGCCTATATAACTTCATTAATTTTATTTTTTCCGAACATAGGGCCTATTCCGTGCTGTACAGTTTATGGTTGAATCATCAATTTACAGTGATGCTCTGGCACTACTACTTGAACTAGTAGACTTAGTGCCGTTTCTTATATTTGATTTGCGGTACTTCACTAGGACCGTGGCAGATTGTTGTTTAACCGCTTTACAACAATTTCGGCTGTAGCCCGTGATAAAGAATAGGACACCCGGGTTGACGAACGACGAACATAGGAAACAGACGGTCGCAAACCCGTAAATTCTTAATGCAAACTGATTCAGTCTATATACATCATGATACATGAATTGATAGCCGATAAGAAAGATGTGTCTAGGTAGTAGAAGAGCCGCGTAAACAACAACCATTACAAGTAAGATTCTTGCGAGACGAATGCGTGAATTGGCGTGATGATCCACTCCATGACGCTTATTTGTGTCAACACTTTTAAACAGGACGCGTGCAATACGTCCGTAATTGAAAGCTGTAAAAAGCAATGGAACAACGTAGGAAAACATAAACATGAGAACAACGTACACTTTAGCCGCGATTGTACCGTGGTTAAGGTGCAAACACATCGGGCAAGTGTTACTGTTAAAGTATACCACCCTTGCTGATACTACCTTGGGAATAGATAAAATGACTCCAGCAAGGTTGATAATCATCAGGGTTAGAATTGTGCGTGTGGCGGTCCAAGCTTTATTAGGCTCTAGTGGGTATGCAACAGCGATATAACGATCAAAACTTAAGGCGACGAAAGTGTAGATTAAAACCGCACTGGAAAAAAGTGCTACTCCATTCAATACCTTGCACAGAAATTCTCCAAATAAGAAACAAGAAGTTAGCAAATAACTCACGTTAAATGGAACAAAAATAGATAGCATAACGATCTCCCATACAGATGTATTTACAATGAGAATAATGGCGGAGTTTCGCATTTTGCGGTTAATCAATATAACAACAATCAATGCTGCATTTGAAAGCACACCAATTGCACCCAACACGCACATGGTAATAGCGATTTTAAAGTACTTCGGTTTAGCATGGCTGGTGCTTGGATCTGTATCCTCTGGTACCACTGAAGTAGTGTTGAGATAATCCATTGTTAACCTTAGTACGACCAGGACACGACGTATTGACGAGTCACCAAAGTTTCATTATTGGTTCTGGAATCATCAGCATCACCACTTCATTGGTAAAAACCTGCAAATAGAACACGGTTACATTTGATCATAATTTCAAAATACAACTTAATTCCCCCGTTCCGCAACCTTTTTAGCCCGCGACCCAAATATCCAAATATTTAACACTCAGCTGCGACCATCGACCTAGCTCAGCCAAATAATAAATATGATTTTATTTTGGTCAGGTTTGCCTGCTTCTCTATCTTGCGTTCATTGCTTCCCTACTTTAATTATTTTTTTCTTTTAATTATATTCAGGTATGTATTCATTCAAATTCAAAAATATATATACATAAAATTGTTTACTAGCAGCGCAATTGCGAAACAAAGCTGTTATTAGAAGACACCCAAGACAAAACAAGCTAATAAATAATTATAAAAGATAAAATTTCAAAAATAAATTTTAAAACAGGTAACAATCACAGAGACACTTACATCAATTAAATTTACAAATTTATCATTTAAGTTTAAAGATAAAACATCAAAAATTTTAATTAAATAAGAAAAAATTGACAGCAGATACATTAGTCATTAAGAATATAAAACTATTATACATGTTTGTTATTATTATTTATTATTATATACAAATTGCATTAATTTAAAGAAAGATGCCATTTAATAGTAAAAGTATGAAAATACCTAGTTATACCTTGTTATTTTGCTTCGATATTCTGCATTTGAGGATGTACATTTACATTTTGACCACGTGCGAGAGATATCGGTGTTCACACTTGAATCAAGCACTTGAATTTTTTTCTGTATTTACACACGTATTTAAAAATACGGTTAAATGACAATAACACACCAAGTATTGTTTTAAAAGGAATATAAATGCAGCGATTCTTCTCACGATGTTGTTTTTAAAAAAGTTTTGTTGACACCAAAGAAAGTCATTATTATTTTATTATTACAATAAAATACCATCTTTAGATTCAGAATAACTGTTTTTGGAAATTAAAATTTGGAAATGTGTACATTGACAGTACAATGACGTGTGTCACACCAAAATGATCATAAATAAAATTTAGTAGGTCCGTCACTGCGATGGTTTACTTCTCGACAGAAAGATCATCAATCTGGCTCTGGGGCGGCAATATACAATCCTCAAGGTAGCACAACACCTGATCACTGTTTACAGTTTTTTCCGATACTTAAGACGACCCCCGAGTTTAAGAAGACTGTTGGACACATTTTGTATGTTAGAGGTATGTTTGTAGGTTAGAGAACCGTCTTGTAAGACGGATGTCTGGCGAAAATGCTTTTTTCTAAATTTGGGCCTAGTTTTTTTTTCCAAAAGGAATTAGAGAATCAAACTATTTGGAAGCATTTAAAAAAAGTTCTTAAAACTTGTTTGTAAGAAGATTGTAAAGCGCTTTGAGCAATTTTTTGGAAAGGCGCTATATAAATTCTTTATATTATTATTATTAATATTATTATTATTATTATTATTATTAATATTATTATTAAGTTTAACGTCGTGCGGCGAAAACTACCTATTAGCTTTAGTCAAAGATACTAGTATCTTTGCTTTAGTGAACGTAAAACATAGAGGTATAATAAGAATACTAGAGCGCTAACTGCAACGTATTCGATGTTCAAAATACGCAGAGCTGTGTGTGTACCATTCAGATGTTGTCGTAGATTCAGCCAATCAAAATTCGCCTAAGCATCATCGTTTTCAATGGCGCTCTCACTTTTCACATGAAAGATAAGTACAACTAAGCTACCTGTATGTTGAAACTCAAGCGTTACGGTGTATCATGGTGGGTGTAATCTACACGGTTTCAATTTTGCTTCCTCGGTACTTTATTTTTAAATAAGATACGCCACTTAATTGGCCTCTTTCTGGCTACAATAGTTTAATAATCTATTAATATCATTAATAATAATAATTAATGAAACAAATGCTAGTCAGAGGGCTTATTTATGATTAAAATATGTATACTAAGCCTGAAGGAGGCGCTTTTTTACGGCCATCTTGAATGGTACACATACCCAACTTTGCAATGCTTCGTCGTCTTGTCAGCACTCTAGTTGTTTTATAGCTCTAAAATGACCATCCTGCAACATCAAAGTACTTAAATATCAAGGAATATGACATTCTTACAAGACCAACATCACCCAACTTTTAAGATACCTCATGAGAAGTAAGGAAGGTATCGCGCTCTTCCAAGAAACTTTGCAATTGAGAGAAATTTATTTTTGCATCTGCTATTATGATTACCAATGAAATGTTTTTTTTTTTTATTGGGGCCAGTTCTTTGTTAATTGTGCTTTGTTTAGTTTTGTTAGAAGATGAGCCGAGAAGCATATCCCTGCACTACTGTCAGCGAAGATTAAGTATGTATGACAATAAATGAACTCAATTCAATTGAATGTTGTAATTTATTAAAAATTGGAAATTGGAACCAGGGATACTGTCTAACAAATAATGGCTATAATCTCTGAAGACCCATAAAATGTATTAGTACTTAATTTAACGAATGTTTGTAGTAAAAGATAACGTAAGTGTTTTTGTTTAAAAATCTGTATAATTTCGAAAAGCTATGGTACTAAATTGTTTGATCTTTGTAATTTATTATTTTTTTCATGGTTTTCTGTTTTTGTTACAGACGACATAAGCAGCCTTTAAGTCGATCACATTCTGGTCTTGGATGATAACAATATAAATTGGCAAATTTATAAACACATTCATAGGATAAACTCGACATCTGGTAGCAAGTTCTACATTATACACTTTTATTACAGAACGTTTTTTGACTTATTAAGATAATATAAAATATGAATCGAAATTGACGCTTGCAACCTTGTACCGATAAAAAACACTCCAAAAGGTTGCTAACAATATTTATCATTTACCAATCTTACATGCTTACATCAGTGAAAATTTAAAATGCTGTCCAAACAATTAATACAACAATAGCCGTTTTTCTCCTGTCTCAGTATTAATAGCATAATATGAATAGTAGAGTACACCTGACATCCTGTTGACAATGTCAATTATTTTACACTTTACAATTCATCAACTCTTTTATATATTTTGCTTGTTTTCCGGTGCATTTTTAATATCATGATCTGAAATGTCCAATCAATTATAAGTGGCAATCTGTCAATATGTTGTTATTATCTTTCACTTAAACTGTTTCTAATGACATGCTTAGATATCCCATTATCGGAACACTTATGTCTTCATAATTATTAACGAACTTTCTAATTATGGTGTTTTTTTTAGGACGGTTGAAATATCCTGATTACAGTGACTTCACTGAGTTTGTGGAGTCCTGGCGCTGACTGTTGTTGGGGCCCTAATAAGCGAGCGATGCGAGCGTTTAGTTTGCGAGAGGGAACAAACAGTTGCTGTAGACAGGGGGCCCCGTAGGGTCCCCGGTCATTGGCCCAGGGGGGTGAAGCCCCTGGTACTTGCCCCCCTCGCGCTTTATGAACTGTTAACTACGTTGTCAGAGAACATAGAACATATAATTTGGTAACATTGTTCATATTGAGAATGGTCGAGTCAGAATGCCACAGCGTTGAGTAATGTGTTGGAACGTGAAATGTAGGCCTACCATGATATTATTGTTCGTTTATCTTAATGTTGGCCTTTTTCCATGCATCCACTGGAAACATCAAAGGGAACTCGCGTACAAAAACTTGAAACATTTCCAAACCACTTTCGATAAATCAGAAGACACCATGTTTGTGTCACGCGCCACACCGATCAAGACAATCCGCAACAGAAAGGCTAACCTTTTTCTACCGTCCTACTAATTTTTAAAAATTTTTCCAAAACGTAGAAAAAAAAACGCAGTGATCGTTTATATGAAGTGAGATATTGCGGTTTTGTATGATGATGCCAGGCCAGCGTATTTTCAATGTTTTTTTTTTATATTTTTTTAAAACTACAATGTCGGGGCCCCTCGAGCCTGGGGCCCTGGTGCTTCGCCCCCGTCAGCGCCCGAGCGTGACGCCGCTGCCTGATTACACGATCAAACAAATGTCTGTGGCAATTTGCGTAATATGACTATAACTGAACACAAGCTTTCAGATCGAAAGCTTTTTCATCTTGTTAATGGTCTCACCATAGGCAAGCGAAGAAGTTTTCTGCCATTTCACTGAGCAATTTGCTCAGTTTATTCATAAAATAATTAGAAGTATCATAGAGAAGCAATAATATGTCCAGTCTTCTGGTGGCCTTTTGGAAGCCAGGTAAAATCACATTTATGTTAACGCCTTGGCTGCCTTTGAAGTAATTTCTCAAAGTGATATTGTCTTTTCCTCAAACAATAACTCATCTAATCTGGATCCTCTGCCTGCATTCACTAAGAAGTATCTTTACTACAATCACCACTAGAACTCCTTTAACCCCATCCACTGAAAGTTTTCGGAGTATTGGCTATTCTTAGTTTGTATCACACCAATAAAAAATTCCACTCCAAAGACAATTCGTATAATAAAGTGACTTGCCTATGTACAAACGTGAATGACGAGTGTGTTATCCTGACCCTTGACCGTGGTTGAGAGCCAGAATCACAACCTTAACCTCAACAACTTTCAAATGTCATATTACATTAAAAGCTTCCAGAATGCATTATGTAAAGTCACAGATCTTTTTTTTTTTTAAATTCCGGTTATGTATTCGAATAAATCAGACTCAGACTCAGATTCATTTTATTTAACCAAAACAACTTAGAAATAGCAAAAATCACTTTGTATGTAATATTAATGATAAATGAGGAGACTTTAATTAAGACCAAAAACAGGCCGCTATCATGAGAGCCACCCCAAAATACAATATTGATAAATTTATTACAGTATATGTATATGTATATTCACACACATACATATGAACAAACACAAACTTCTACACACAAATTCACAAAGGCAGTGCACATACATACACATATACTGTACTCAAAAATATAAACTGATAAACACCAAGAGCTTTGAACGCATGTTTATATAATCAAAAAAGAAAAAAGAGGGGCAAATGAAACAAGACCTATAACAATCTATGAACTCA